TGGTATAATTTCTTGTTAAACACAAATAATTAATCCAGTGAAGACACAAGTGCACTTGGCTAGAGTAGCAGTGAAATTTCACAGACTTGCACTTATTTAAAACACGCGACTACACTCACTTGTGTTCTATTTTACACTGGGCAGAAACGTTTTCCTCAGCAGTTTATGGATTTTAATTCAAAGTTAAACTGATGATCCACATACTTCAAAACGAGTCCAAATTAAGCAATATACCAATAAAAATGGGATCTAAAGTGTGCACTATGTGTTCCAAAAGAATATATTTACTTGAGAAATTCAGCTTGAAGTATTGTATAATTAATTAATATACAAACTCATAATACATACGGACAATATAAAATAAATTGTTTGGAGCCACACACATTTTTATGTAGACCAAAAGATTACTATACAAACTAGTGCCTCAGATTTTTAGGTTAAATTAAAGATAGTGTAATTTAAGTCAAAGGTCAATCGGATGGCTACAACACTAACGATCGAAAAAAAAAACTTTTGCCTATAACCTGAATACGTTTATTTGTATCAGTATATATATGATTTGTATTATTAAATTTTTTAAAAGCGTGTCGATAGCTTTTTTTAGATTAAACTTTTCACAAACAATAACATACAAAGGTGTTGTATATAATCTGTAAAATTTTTTACAAATTAATTTTTTTGCCTAAAAGACGTTCCTAAAAAGAATTGGATATAATAAATGTATCTTTTTAGGTATAGGTATATACAAAAGAAATGGAATTAGCGAAAAACAGCTTATATTTGATTAAGGCATAAATTTAATAGTTAAACAAGAAAGGAAGTTAACTTCGCCGCGCCTCCAGTTTCAAATTTTAAATATACATCCAGATTAAGTAGAAAGTATCTTTCATTATCTAACATATTACATACTGCATTTACAGTTTTACAGTTTAACATTCACAACTTTGCATTTTTCTGTACATCTACCGATCGTTTCTATGGCAGCTTTGGATATCCAGTTTCATAATTTTTTTTCTATTAATTCCTGGATCGTTCTTGGCTTCTATGTATATGATATAGTCATTCGATTTTCATAAAATTAAAACCGAAATTCTGAAATAATACAAAAAGGCTTTATCTTAAAGTAGATGTTGAAAAACAGCAGTTATATATTTTTTATTAATTCTCCGATCGTTCCTGTATCAGCACTATGATATAATCAAAGTTGCATTCAAACCTGAGAGCGTAGTTTGCGTAGGAACGGATGATCAAGAATATATTTATATATTTTATTTATAGGATTGGAAATGACTCCTTTACTGTGCTTCAAACTTATGACTTAAAATTTTGTACCCTTGCAAGGATATAATTATTCCCGTTCCAGCTTAAAAATGATAAAGTCAGGGTAAAAACAATTTTAGTAAGATTAAAATATTAACTTTAATATAATATAATTTATTTAGTAACTATTAGGCTTAAATAAATAAGCTTTATAAAAATATATGTATATATTTATTAATATATAATTTGAAGAACACAGGCGGAAAATTAAAAAAAACGTTGCACTCAAGTGGACAAACGGAGGCCGAATAATGATTTGTTAATATTGAAGTAATGACTATAAAACTATAAGGTCGTACATTTGATTATGAATAATTTTCCGTTAATGTCGGTTAATGCTATGCAATATTAAATAACAAATAATATTGGAGTACATTTTATTGATTCAATTATTGTTCAATTAAAATAGTGTACCAACAGAGGTATATATATTTAGCTACAATTTAACAAACCTATTTTTTAATAAGTTCATCACCACGATGACTTTTTCTCTACACCATTTTGTGTTTAGTTCCCCGAAATAAGTAGGAGTGTCCCATTTGTCGATTGTCTCTGTTTTTTCCATTTTTTTGTTTTTGTAGTAAAGAACTCTGGCAAAATGAGGGTGGATTTGTTGAGAATCGTGGATGGTTTCTCGAACAACTCGCTCGCTCGGCCAACCATTTTGTTTTCTTGTTTCTTTACACTTCCCAAAAGGTACACTCACCCCCATTGAACAAAAAAAAAGGTTTTAAATTGGGGTTTTTTAAAGAAAATATCTTTTGAGACTACAAAACCATTTTATTTTTAACAGGACATGCAACTATTATAATTTCTTTTTTAATTAATTAAGAATTATGAGGTTCTCTTTATTTCCCAATGAATAAAAAATATATAGAAAACTTATTGGCAATAATTAAGCTTTTCTACTCACCAGAACTGTAACATTCTCGATGGATAAAAAGTTTTCGCTTCATATTTCTCATTTATGAACAAATATTTCTTCAGCTGCGAGGCTTATACATATGTATGTTATATTGTCATCTTGCAGAGGCAAAGAAGCAGCCGAAGTAAAGGTAAAAATGTATTTTAAGTCAGGAATAAAGACAGAAATTAGGTTAATTCGGTGCAAACCTGCCATTTTAAAAAAAATTTTGTGGCGAAACGGCTAAAGTTAACAACATTTGAAAAAATTTGTTGTAAAATATTTACAGGTCTACGAGTAAAATAGGGAATCTCCTGAGTCCCCAAAAAAAAGGGTTTTCGGTGTACATCCTAACTGTCCACAAAAACATCCGATATCTTGAGGTACTCACGTAGCGTTTTTATAAAAAACAAGAAAGGAAGCTAACTTCGGCACGCCGAAGTTTTTATACCCTTGCAGATATTATTTCATTACATTTTACCTATATTATTATGTTTACAGTTTGACAGTTAAAGTTTTGCATTCCCAGCTTTACATTTTTTCTCAACATCTACCGATCGTTTATATGGCAGCTATATGATATAGTTGCCCGATTTTTATGAAACTTATACCAAAATTCTAGAATAATAAAAAAAAGCTTATATCTCAGAGTACATGAAAAAACGTTGAAAATCAACGAAGTTATAATTTTTTCTATTAATTTCCCGATCGTTCCTATGGCAGCTATAAGATATAGTCGTCCGATTTTCATAAAATTTTTATTGAAAATCTAAAATAATATGAAATGGCCATATCTAAAAAATGGTGTGAAAATATTGAAAAACAACAAAGTTATAATTTTTTTTCTAAAAAATTTATCGAACATTTGTATGGCAGCTATATGATATAGTCGTACGATCCGGCCCGTTCTGGCATATATAGCAGTGAGAGTATATAGAAGACTATATGCAAAGTTTCATTCAGATAGCTTTAAAACTGAGGGACTAGTTTGCGTAGAAACGGACAGACGGACGGACAGACGGACAGACGGACATGGCTAGATCGACTCGGCTGTTGATGCTGATCAAGAATATATATACTTTATAGGGTCGGAAACGTCTCCTTCACTGCGTTGCAAACTTCTGAATGAAATTATAATACCCTGCAAGGGTATAAAAATTGTTTTCCATTCTTTTTAACCAAATTGGATTTTTTACAAAAAAAATTAAGTTAATTTATTAAATAAAAAATATAATAAAATTTTACATTTAAAATTAAAAAAGCCCAACGTGAGTACCTGTAGACTTAGTTAACGAAGTTTTGTTCCAAATATCAAACCGATTGATCCAGTAAATTTGGAGTTATCGTGTACGCCGACTTTCAAAATGGCACTTTACAGGAGAGCGCTTTAAACTTTTTGATACTCATGCATTGAAAACCAAACGACCTTCATTGAACTCTGCATAACTTAGTCAATTGTCCTATGATCGATGTAAAACTTGGACACAATATTCTTAAGATATTGCTTCATATTTCTCATTTAAGGGGGATATACATGTAAACCAAGATTTTTTTGTCAATTTTTTTTTTTTTTTTTTAAATAGTTTATTTATTAAAGAATATACTGTGTAAGTTTCATTATCAAATTCCAGCTTTAAGTGCCTCAAATCAAGTATGCTCCCAAAGTATACAAGTGTCAACGTGGGCGCATCAGAAACTTTAAACGTCTTTTTCTCAGCTTCTAATTTTTGCATTTCTACCTATGCTATGGACACGATTTACAAAAAACTATGTAACATATCGGAGTGAATCAAAAATTAGTATGATCAGCAGGAAATTATCTTCTTTTTGAACCTATATGGGGGTAATAAAAATTAGTTTTACTATTTTTTAAGAGGGTGGGAAATCTGATTCGCTGAAAATAGCATTTTTCCCTTCAAAACTAAATCAAATTTTTTTGTAATTATTTATTTTTGGTTTTTTAGGATCAAATAGAAATAATGTAATGAATACAAAAAAATTTTGTTTGAGGATTTTCGACACAAATTACGTGTGTCCATAGCCGGGAAACTCAAAGCTCGAGGCGCTGCGGCATGTTTTCCATAGGTCTGCCATTTTTTAAAATATAGTTTATAACAAAATTTTTTTATCATCTCCGATTCTACTTTTAACTATATCCAAAGTTTTACGAAGATTGCTTGACTATTTCCTACATTAAAAAATTCACAAAAAATGTCTAAACTTTGACCGTTTACATGTATATCCCCCCTTAAGAAAAAATAGTTCTCCAGATGCGAGTCATATGATATTTTATTATCATCTTGCAGAGGCAAAGGAGCAGCCTAAGTGAAGAAAAAAATACAGTTTAAGTAAGAAATAAAGATGCTTTTAAAAAATCAAAACAATATGTGAATTTGTCATCTAATGCCGCCCAGAAGCTGATTTTTTATTTCTTGGTTCGCAAAACAAATAAATTTTAAAAGTATGTGAACGTTTTTAATGTTTCTGGTTTTATTATTATAATTTAATGGAAGAATTTACAGTTCTCTCTCTTAACATTTCAATTACAAATAGGTCGTTTTACATACATATATTAATTTGCTTATGTTTGTATTTTGAACACATAGAGCAGCAAATATACATTACGCATTTCATAACGAAGGTAAATAAATGTATCTGTTAGAAAAATAACTAAAATAAAGTTTCGATGTAATTTTTTTTTTTTGTACATATTATGAAGCGATCGCGACAATAAATATAAATCGTGTTTAAATAAAAGTTTGGGAGCTGCCTTGATTCCTTTTTTTTTTTTTTTTTTGCTTCTATAATCTAAGCAAATATTATGTTTTTAAACTAAAAATTTTAAATTATTTTTTTCATATTTCGAACATATCTGTAGTGTAAAACGCATACTTAGAAAGTGGGGAGATGGATTTAACGTGTGGAGACTAGTATTTTGTATGGATATATAACGGGCACACTTTCTGCGATTTCGCTTGGTAGGCATTTCCTCTGCCCGATCAGCATTTCCTCTGCATTTTTGTTGAATTGCTCAGTTCAATTACAAAGGCTTTATGATATTGACAGAGGTTCGAGGCGAGCGAGTGTTGGAGAATGGAGAAATAGAACAGTTCGCCTCAAATACAAGTCACTCTATCTACATGGCAAGGGCAGAAGACAGCTGGCGGCGTTCTGTGATTAACTTTATTTATTAACAAAAAATGCTGGATTTGGTGATAAGTTTGGAGGCATTGTTATCATATTGCCTTGCTGCTGCTGATGCATCTGCTGCTGTTGTTGTTGCTGTTGCTGTTGACTCCTTGTATTGGTGGCATAAAGTTGCTGCTGGAAGCTATGATATTGCTGCGCGTACTTTAGATCATTTGAAGAGGGTCCCACGAAATTAACATTAGAAACTACTCCACCGTTAGACGGTACATTTATGTTATTATTATTGGGTCCCGGTCCCGGTCCCAGCCCTTGCCCTTGTAGCTGTTGCATTTGTCCAACGCCTCCGCTTGCTCCCGACTGGTTCTGACATATTCCCGCTGGCATCATGGTCTTTAGAAGCTGAGACTTAGGCTGTTGGGACTGTTGCTGCTGTTGGGAGGCTGTCAACAAGGCCGCTGATTGACCGCTGGCACTGTTAAAAAATGCCGTGGGATCTCCTGCAGAGCTGCAATCGAGATCCGCTCCGTGCCCTGTAAACGGTAATTGTCTGTTAACAGCTGGCTGCTGTAGTCGTGGACCCATGAGATGCGGACGTAGCATGTTGCTGTTATGGGGACGGATGCCCCGTATCATTGATGGCTGATGGCCAATGATCATCCCAGGATCAAGTCCTCCTCCGCCTCCTCCTTCCTCCTCTACAATAGCTGGTTGTTGATTACAGTTTTGAAAATAGTTACTGCCCGGAGTGTGGGCCATCTTCTGTTGCTGTTCGTTGGGAGAAGTCATGAGCATGGAACCGGCCCCAGAAGGACCCACCATCATACCCGGCATGCCTGGCATGATTCCCGGGCCACCATCAATCGAAGGACCATTGCCAGCAGCTCCTCCGCCAGCCATTTGTGGATTGGCATATCTCTGAAGGAACTCCAGGCTAGGCGGCATTCGAACATTGCCAGCTCCTCCAGTTCCCACTCCTCCTGCTCCGTTATTGTTATTATTGTTGTTATTACTAACATTTTGCGGTCTTACTGGCATATACTGTATGGTGTTCGGTGTGCTGGCCTTAACATGAATATTGGGATTGAAATTTGAACCGAAATTCAGCGGCATTCGGCCCATTAGGCGGGCACCGGGGGGGACGGCACCTTGGCCCTGAAAGTTAGCTTGTGAGGGTCCGGTACCAGCCACAGGCAGCTGACCAGAGCCAAGGCCATTGGGTGAATTTGGATTAAAGTTGGGACCAGGTCCACACATTTTAGAATTCATCAGGCGCTGCTGACCCATCGAATTCATTATTGCCGGATTCATGGGATGACAACTATTGGTCTGATTAAGTGCATCCAAACTAGTGGCAGAATCCAGACCAGTTAGCAATGCATGCTCCATGTTCATATCCGGTATATTCATATTCATGCCCGCGGGAGGAGCACCACCACCGGGACTGCCCCCCATGCTGCTCACACAGCTCGTTAGCTGTTGGGACATCTGGGCCAGCGATGAGATGGGATCAAAGCTCTGGCTAATCATTTTGTTTTGCGGCGACGGTCGATGAGTGCCGCCACTATTGGGATTCAGAGGTATGTTGTCCGAACGGCGAGCAAACTGTACAGATCCTCCAGAAATTTGACGCTGAAACCAAGTCATTAAAGCCAATTAAAGACAATAACCCAACGGTTACCACTGGGTTTATCAAGTAAGAAAGTCGACTACCTCCCTTCAAAGGACCAAAATATATCAGGTAAAAACTCTTACTTACCTCCAATTGTATATTCGGCGTGTTAACTTTGTAGGCTGCATTTAATGCTGAATTGGCATTGCTTTGCATATGCGGATGAGGGTGTAAATGCGGCGGATGAGGATGAGGATTAAAGACTATGCCAGGACTAGACGAGGAAGCAAAGCGGGACTCCATATTTGCTTCAATTATGTTGTTTCCCGACGGGGACCTTGGCGGACCACCTTGGCTTGGACTGGGTCGTCGACTTTTTATGTTATCACCTTTAAGAAATCATTGAAATTAAATTAGAAGTAAAAAGTCGAGAAAGTAAATATAGGAAATTACCAGCAGACGATGGCTGCCCAAATGATTCCAATTCCTTGGGCGATAAATGAGACAGTGGTGTACTTGGGTTGCTATGTAAATTATTTCGATTTCGATTTGCTGGGTTTTGATTCGGCGGCGATTCTTGGGCGTCCGCTTGAAAGCAGTTCTTAGATGTCCCAAGTACTCCCCCTACAACTCCTAACTGCTGCGATCCAGAAGATGCCACGACTACCTGCCCAGTCGAGCCGTCCATATTCGGCGAGTTCGTTGGCAAGCCCATGACAGTTCCCCCTCCACTGCCCGTTGTTGTTGTGCGCGGCGAGGGCAGAGATAGGTTATTCGGACTCGAGGGATTCGGCGATTGTTGCGTAGCTATCGGCACAGAGGCCGATCTCTGTGTGGAATGATATGGCGGCGGTGGTCCCTGCAAGGAGCGCTGACCGACAGGATTAGAAGACGGCTGTTGCTGCTGCTGTCCTCCTCCTCCTCCTCCTGCCACTGGTCTAGCTTTGCCACCTTTTAAACGATCATCAAAAAACTGATGTTGCATCTTGGACCATTCCATATGGGCCATTCCTCCTCCGCCGCCAGGTTGATGAGCATGTGGTTGAGTTAGATTTGGCTCCTGGTTCGAAAGTAATTCCTTTGATATATCATTGCCAAACGAAGAAATTAGATCAGTTGAGTTCACCATTCCTCCCACTCCTTCGACGCCTGATCCTGATCCCGGCCCGCCACATTGCAGGTTGCTTTTTTGCCCGCAGCCTATAACAGATCCTATATCGGAAATAACATCTCCAGGCAGAAGGACATCATCAGTGGTAATAATGTGGTGCTCTGGTTTTAATTGTCGCATTTGAGAATTTATGATGGAGCCACCTCCGCCTCCTCCTGCACCGGCTCCTCCTCCTCCTGTACCTGGCATGCCCATCATCAATTCATTTGACATCTTCGTTCCACCGCCCAATGCACTCTCATTCTCAGGGAATAAAAATTGATTCATTTTCTTGATCTTGGCCAACTGCTCCTCTCTGTGCTGGCGCTGTTGGGGAGTTAGATTCTCATCCGGAACCTTGACTCCTTGCAGCGACACAATGTTACTTTCATGGCTCTGATCGATGATGTTGCCTGCCTTTGATGAGGAGCTCTGTCCCAAATCCACTCCTGCGGCCTCCAATATCTTTATGGCCTGTGATTCGCTGGTAACATCGATATTATTGTTGCGTGCATTGGGCGCGGAACAACCACTCTCCCAGCACATTAAATCGCTTTCGTTTGATGTCAGGGGATCGGGTGGATCGATAAAGGCGTTGCGCTTATTATCACTTGAATTATATTGGTTTTTTAAGAGGTTGCCAGCCGTTTTTTGTGCCTGCTTGGGAAGAGCAACTGCTGGTCCCGGTCCCATGCCTATCCATGGCATAACCAAAGACGAGTGTCTCTGCTGCAACTTGTTCATTTTCAATGGATTCTTCATAAAGAAATCCTCTAGAAAGTTTTTCGTTGCCGGCTGGGTGCAGTGATAAGCGATAATGGTTTGAAACTGGCCGCTTAAAACTGATTCGGCACCTTTGTTGGCCAACTGTGTGGAAAATACAAAGATGTGATTCTGTTGCTGCATGTAATCCAAGCAGTTGTTGCTGCCACCACTCGAAGTGTTGCCAACCATGTTCCCTGGTACTCCTCCCGGTACAGAGCCAGTTCCTGGCCCAGGCCCTACTCCTACACCAGTTCCTAAGGAGAGTATGCTCGAAATTGGCGGATTACTCAACGTTTCATTGTTCATATCAGGGTTCATTTGATTATTGCAATTAGTACTTTCTATACCCATTTCGTCATTATTATTTATGGCCAATGAGGACGAAGATGTCTTTTCTGTGCTGCTTGTATTCATTTCTGTTTTAACTAAAAACCATTAGAGATGCAGAGTTAGTATTTAACATATTAAAGAACACTTACAAGTATTATAATTACATGATAGGGAGCTAACTTTGGCATGCCGAAGTTTGTATACCTAGCAGTTTGTAATTGGATTATCAATCAATCAATTTTCGTTCAACAACTTGATAAATTAAAAAAAAAAAAAAAACACTTTTTTCAGTCCTGTCCGATTCCACGCAAACTACTCGCTCAGTTTTGGATGATACTTTGCAGATAGTCTTCTAACTATTCTCACTACTATATAAATAGGATCGGACGAATATATGCCAGCTAAATAAAAAGATGACTATGATGACCATCGATAATAAGATAAACCGAAAAGAAAAGAAACAAGAAATAAATAACGGAGTGCAAAATAGCTCGCAGTGCCGAAAATTAATTCCAAAAAAAGTTTTGGTAATATTACAATACAAATTTATTATAATTCAGTTTCGTAATATTTAAATGTATAAATTAAATCATATTCTGTAAGATTTGGACTCGATTGACCAGATTCCTGGACCGTTCTGTAACTAATAGTGAGAAAAATATAGAAATATTCGACTATAAATTTTCAGTTGTCGTCTAATAAGTTATCAAAAGCAAAATAATAATCAATATGATCAATTTATAATTATTTATTTAGATCCTAACAAAAATGACTTTTTAGGCGTTTTTGGGTGATTGGGTGATTACCGAACCATTTCGTTTAAGACCAATTTCAATCGAGTACAAACCCTGCACAATTGATTATTATTAATACATTTTTCAAAAGAAGCTAAATAATAATATAATTGGATTATATTATTCATAAAACTTTTTTAGAATTAGTTTTTGGCACGGTGAGTTATTTTGCAATTACAAGGTTGAAAAAATTTTGTATATTTCGCTATTTTTTTTTTTAACTGTTGTACCGAAATTTTTATTTAATAAATGTTTTTTTTTTTATATATAATTATGCAATTTGGATAGGACTATAACAACAAAATTATATTTTAGGCTTTTTAAGTTTCTTATGGAGTTTATACATATATACATCTGTTTCTACGCAAACTAATCCCTCAGTTTAAGGGGTTATATACAGTTGTGATGATGAAAAAATCGACTTTTTTTTTATTGCATATTCTTCAAGTATATACTGTTGAGAATTTGTTTTGTTTTTTCAAAATTACCTTTGCGGTGGACACGATTACTAAAAAACTATTAATCCGATCAACACCAAATTTTGACCACTTATTTATTATAACAATAGCTAGTCCTCTAACGAAGAATTTTTAATTTTTCAAACTTTTTTTTTTTAGAGCATAAAAAAGGAAAATCTTATACCTTGAAAAAGTAAATTTTTTGTTAAAACCGTCGCCATTTTTTTTTAATCAACATTTTTACAAATCCATGGTCTAGAGGACTAGGCAATACAATATACTAACGAAATTTTTTTGAATTTTTGGTTTTGGATGAATCGTTCTCGGGATATGATGTCCACCGCAAGTCACTATCGAAAAAAAGACGATCTTGGAATTCGGCCATAACATTTTTAATATTTAATATTTTTTTATGAAAAAATTATATGAAGTACCCAGAAATATGTACTAAACAACGTCGGCAAAACATTTTTAATAAATATTTTTTATGATGTCAAAAAAAATCGACAAAACTGGATTTTTTTGCGCGGTACAACTGTATATAACCCCTTAAAAGCTATCTGAATGAAACTTTGCATATAGTCTTCTATATACTCTCACTGCTATATATGTCGGAACGGGCCGGATTGGACGACTATATCATATAGCTGCCATACAAAAAATGTTTAGGAAAAAAATAACTTCGTTGTTTTTCAACGCATTTTCATCTACTACATCTGAGATACGAGCTTTTTTATTATTTTAGAATTTTGGTTTAAATTTCATAGAAATCGGACAACTATATCATATAGCTGTCAAACTGAAAACATAATAAGTAAAGGTAAAATTTAATGAAACTCTGTTTTGTGTGTGTTTTCAGCATTTAAATTTATAATATAAATATCAAAACCAATCTGCAAGGGTATACAAACTTCGGTGTGCCGAAGTTAGCTTCCTTTCTTGATTTTGAATAGTTTTGGCAATGAAATATTAATATACTCGAACGATATTAGATTTAACGAAAACCTTCTAAAACTTAAAATGTTCAAATGTTATTCCACATACCAGTCATGGTGACAATGTCCAGGGCATTGCCACCAATGGAACCAAAGCCCACAGGCGACATGTTTGGAGAGTTATCTCTTTCTTCCTTTTTCATATTCACCAAACTGCTTAGGACATCGGCGTTGGGCTCCTCCTTAATGGCAATGGCAGTCGTTGCTTTCGTATTACTGGATCCCATTTCTAATTGGTCCATTTAAATGAAAGAACTTAACAGTTGAATAATAATAATAATAGTTACGTGACCCTTACCACCATCTTCCTCCTTGCCATGAGCACTCTTTTCGTCCTGCTTGCCGTTACCAAGATCACTTTCGACCATTTGAGTGCTGTTGAGCGCAGCAGAAACAGTGCTACTATTCGAATGTTCACTCATATCGTTTGGTGAATTTAGGCTGCTTGAAGATGGTTGTCCTTCGGCAGATGAATTATTATTTCCACCTCCGCTTGAGCTGGTACTTCCTGATGGATTGGCGATGCTTTTATCGTTATTTGATAAACCATTCTTCTCTTCCTCTATTTTGATTTGATCTGCAAAAATAAATTAATAAGGAGCGTGTAGAGCTAGGAAGCCGGAAGTGGGTACGAACCTGGTGACAAGGTTGAGAAAGGGGGCTCGCTCTTAACAGGCTTTGGAGAATTCCTACTCAGAGCAGTAGGTGCACTTGTTGTTGATGCATCTGAGCCGCTTGATATTTGCGTCTGTGTTTGAGCTAATGGACTGCGGGGCATTTTTGGTGTTGATAACATTGTGCCTAGGCCTTCTTCCAATAAAAAGGATGTTTCCTCAATTCTTTATAGCTATTAAGTTTCTTAAGCAGACCATGGTTTGCCTATATCAGTTGACTCTCCAATCTAATGCATGTTGATATTGATGCAAATGTAAATTCAAGCGCATACGCATTCGTATGTATGTATGATCACACTGTTAGAACTTTTTATACGAAGGCCATAATTACATATATACCGAATGGAGCTAACAATGTCACCATAATCCATTAGCATTTCACTCTCTCCATTCAACTCTTTTCGAGTTCAAATAGTTTTTCCCTAGTCTGTTTTTACAATTTTATGTATGTGTATGTATGTATATATACTATTAAACACGTAGTCCTCATTCGTTGAATGTAAAACTTGCCAGATGTCGTTTTTAATTTCGTAAATAACATACTCTGGACAATTCTATACCAAAAGTATTAAGAAGATATTCCCTAATTTTAAAAACACAAAACAAATATTCAAAACTATCAAGTTTTAATGTTAAAATTAGAGTTTATGCCTTTTTAGAGTGGCCAGATCTTACTTACGTCTAACATGATAAAAAATATATATATTTCAAACTGGCCTATTATTCACTGATGCGACGTTTTCAATCTATCCCGTTCACACCAAGAAAATGTTTTGGATCTTTGGTCATATGGAATAGGGCCCAAGTTTTATTGAGAGAAATGTGATAAGGTACGCATACTTTTATAAAACCACAGTATGGTATTATGTTGTTCGTACGGCGGCGGCATCTTTGGAAAGCATCATGAGACATATAAAACTGTTTTCCCACACAGCCTATTCGTGTGAAACGTTGATATTTTTAGAAGATGTCAAACTCCGATTCCAACAGAGCTCCATCTACCTTCCTCCATCCGGAAACAGCTAATAGGGTCTTCCCACACACCGTCAAAGCGCATCTCCCGTCCGTTGAACAAACGGTCCATAAGGTTTTGCCGTTCCGAATTTTCTCAATTGGACCTGCATCAAAGCGCATCAAAATCGGTTTTTTTGCGATAGTTAGACGATAGTTTTTAGGTGCAACTCTGATTCTTCTTCTTAATTTGACCATTCACTACGAAAATGTAAAGAAACTTGCAAGGAACAAATGAGATATGGAATTTAAAACTTGACGCCAAAGCTACAAGCATGCCCAAAATAGTTGTTGGCGTTTTTTCTGTATATTCTTGCCCCAATATGTCCCCAATTGTTACTATTTAATATAAACCGCCTGCCTCTACCTTATTTTGAAGATTTTGGATGCCTATACCACCTATAGACACTCTTCGGGGAATTTGCTCTTTGTTAGAGAGAAATCATTAGAAAAACTAAAATTCCTTGTCATTTAATTCATTTAAATTTATTGCGGATAAATTCTGACGCAATCTGTGCCTTTTGCTGTTCTACAACAGCCAAAATAGTTGGTAAATGCTCCATTTCAAAATTGCAACTGCCAATTCGACAGCCTTTGTTTACGTTTTCATGAGCCACAGCTGATCGATCAGCTGTTCGGATGCCAGATGCACTTTGACGCTCTGTGGGAACACGAGTTTCGCATCTGCAAAAATACCAAACGTTCCTCACAGATGCGCTGTGTGGGAAGACCGTATAACGTAGCTCTGTGGGAACACGAGTTTCTGTTTTTTTTTAAATCCCAACTGTTTCACACAAATGCGCTGAGTCTGAAGACAGTATAAGAAAATGAAATCAGAGTTGCACCGACCAATTATCGCCTAACTATCGCTAACAGAAGGGCGTCAAATTTAGATGAATAACTGATGCGGTACAAAATGAGAAATTTCGGAACGGCTAAACCTTATACATATGCCAGCCAGACCCTATTAGCTAAAATAATTAATAAATTCAAAAATATCTAGATTATTATTTTTGAAGTGAACACTGTATATTGCAGTTGTCTACCATATATCCCTGAATTTTTCGTAGTTGCTAAATACATGTTGTAGCATATGGAGCCATAAATATTATTGATTTGAAATCCATGCGAAAGGAAAAGTCGTTGATGTAGATGTGCATACTTCTGTGTAAAACTAATAATTTTACTCCCACAACATACTGTTTATACCCTTGCGGGTATTCTAATTTTAGTCAGAAGTTTGCAACGCAGTGAAGGAGACCTTTCCGACCCTATAAAGTATATACATATTCAGGCCTGCTCCGGTAATCGAAAACGGCAAGATTTTTTCGTTTTCGTTTTTGAAAACGAGAAATTGGTGCTCCGGTAATCGAAAACGAAAGATTTTTTCGATTTGAAAAACGGGCACCTTTTTCTGGCCGGAATGAAAAGTAAATGGTTTTTTTTATATGAAATCAGATCTTATTTACAAAAGGAAAAAAATAGTTTGCTCAGTGGTCTATTGATGTTTATTCCACTCCACCACAAGATCATTCTGTCAGGTAATTATTTTATAAAAAATTTATTTCTGACCCCACCTCAGATTTGACAACAAAATTTTTGCCGTGTTCAACCAGTTTTCTCGTTTTGGCGATAGGTCGATAAGTTCACCGCAAAAAGTTATCGCCAAGGTTGCCATATTGTTGGTGGAACGAAACAGCCAGTTAAAAATACTTATAAAATATAAATGAATACATTAATAACTTTAAAGGACCGCCAAAATGGTTGTTTATAATTAATGCTATTTAATGTGATTACTTAAATGGTCCAAATTAACCAAATAATTATTTGAGACCACCGGAATTAAAACTGTGAAAAGTGTGGCAGCATCTTAGGTGCCTGGATTTGCTTAATTCTACCATTTTTTGCCTTTTTCTGGCTTAGAAAAAGGGCAATTGTAAATATAATAGGCAGTACTTTACGTTGTTTGCTTATCCGATAGCAGAAATTTGCCGAAAACCGGAGCAGCTAAAAACGAAAACGGTTCGTTTTCGCCCAAAACGAAATCGAAAAAATTTTACGATTACCGGAGCAGGCCTGATAATCTTGATCAGCATCAACAGCCGATTCTATCTAGCCATGTCCGTCTGTCCGTCCGTCTGTCTGTCCGTTTTTACGCAAACTATTCCCTCAGTTTTAAAGCTATCTGAATAAAACTTTGCTAAATACATGTTGTAGCATATGGAGCCATAAATATTATTGATTTGAAATCCATGCGAAAGGAAAAGTCGTTGATGTAGATGTGCATACTTCTGTGTAAAACTAATAATTTTACTCCCACAACATACTGTTTATACCCTTGCGGGTATTCTAATTTTAGTCAGAAGTTTGCAACGCAGTGAAGGAGACCTTTCCGACCCTATAAAGTATATACATATATTCTTGATCAGCATCAACAGCCGATTCTATCTAGCCATGTCCGTCTGTCCGTCCGTCTGTCTGTCCGTTTTTACGCAAACTATTCCCTCAGTTTTAAAGCTATCTGAATAAAACTTTGCTATATATGTCGGAACGGGCCGAATCGGACGACTATATCATATAGCTGCATTACAAATAAGTGTTTTTAGCATTTTAATTTATAATATAAATATCAAAACCAAATTATTATACGATGTGTATAAATATACAACTTTTATACAGTTTCTAGTTGTCGGCATATATGTGTCTCTCTTTCACTCTTTACGAAAAGACTCAGAGAGCACCCGTTCATGAGTTCTTGGAATGAGCTCGCGCGCGTTCAGAGCGAACTCGTTTTTTTCTATTCTGTTTTGTTTCGGTTGTCCCATGAACCGTGGTCAGTGAACAAAAGTCTTTTGCGTATGTATTGGTATACATTCACACGCATAGGCAAGCAAATCCCCTGCAGTTCCAGAATTCCTGGCCCGTCCGATTCCTCGCGGCATGTTCGAAAAACAAAAACAAATTACATGGGCCTGGTTCAGCGAAGTTCGAAACAAAATAGCCGAAACAAATTCTACCTACGCTCGGCTACTGCCGAGGGCTTCACGAAGTTCGTTCTTCATATTTGTTATTGTTTTCGATCTACGTTCGGAGTAGCGGTTGCGAGAATTCGTAAATTAGAGAGAGATGGAGATGGAAGGAAGGGAGGAAAGAAAATTGGTGTCAAAAACAAAGAGTATTGCACCGACGTGAGAATGACCTTTTTAAAATAAGTAGAGTTATATAAAAATATTTAAGATTATATTTAATTAATTTTTACGTATAAAATCGTGTGGGATACAAGCACGTAAGAAATTGTGCTTTAGACATGGCCGAAATGTTCATGTTTGATTATTGGCCCTTTGTGAATCTAATTGCAAGGCATTGCCTTGTCGGCTATACCCTGACACGCGCGAGAATTTTCGGTCTTCGGTTTTGTCTTCTAATTCTCTTTGCATTTTGAGTTGACTGCTGTTGCATTCAGATGTGTTTTGCGTATAGTTGCGTAAAAATGAAATATTATAAGGTAAGTGGAACTTATTTGCATTCAATTATTAATTTTAATTGCAGAATTGACGATTAAAATGGATGCGACTTCAACCTAGACGGTGTGAATGGGATTCAGTACGGATTTACAACGTTTTTTTATCCAGTTTAAGTTGGTATGTACTGCAATTTACAATTTGATTAAAAAATATGTATGTACTTATGTATTTAATTTACAGATAAAACAAGTTTCTTAAAGGACCCAGCAGCCGGCAAAGGAGACTCGTGACACGCACTTATGTACATACATATGTACATACATATACATGTTTAATTTTGCAGAAAAATGTAATGCTACCAAACAAGTGAAGATAAATAAAAAAATGCAATCCATAAACAAATAAGGAATATATTACATCGGATTTTTACTAGGAAGGGTGGGGGGGGAATTTTTCAGGAATTTTCTATAGATTTTCATCTGGGATTCCTGGCGGATTCCGCTAGCGAATCCCGCGGGATTCCGCAATGATTTTCTCGGGATTCCTCGACGATTGCCGCCAGCGATTCCCGCAAGATTCGTCCACGATTCCCCCAGTGATTCACGCGCGATTCGTCGACGATTCGCCCCAGCGATTCCTTGACGATTCGTGCAAGATTATCTTTCGAAATTCCCGTGGACCTTCCCGTGCGATTCGTGATGGATTCTTGGGCGATTTCGAATTACAGGCTGGGAGCACTCGTTGTATGGAAATTCCTAGCCGAGTTGTATGAACGTTCCATGGCGAATCCTCATGGAATTATTTCGGTTCCATGGCGAATCGTAGGGGAATCGTTGACGAATGGAACTGAAGGGTCGTAAAACGTTTAGTTGCGATTTAAAAACAACATTGTCTGAAACTTTTCTTTTCTTTTTAATAGCATTTTGTTATAGGGACACTTGTTCACAAAAATAAATAAATAAAAAAAAAACAAGAAAGGAAGCTAACTTCGGCACGCCGAAGTTTGTATACCCTTGCAGATATTATTTCATTACATTTTACCTATACTTATTATGTTTACAGTTTGACAGTTACAGTTTTGCATTCCCAGCTTTACATTTTGTATACATCTGCCGATCGGTTTATATGGCAGCTATATGATATAGTTGTCCGATTTTTTTTGAATTTATACCAAAATTCTAGAATAATAAAATAAGCTTATATCCCGGAGTAGATGAAAATACGTTGAAAAACAACGAATATATAATTTTTTTTCTATTAATTTCCCGATCGTTCCTATGGCAGCTATATGATATAGTCGTCCGATTTTCATAAAATTTTTACCAAAATTCAGAAATAATATAAAATGGTCATATCTAAAAATGCCATATAGCGAGCTACCGAGCTAGTGTGACCAAAAAAAATTAAGGAAAATCCTGAAATTCCATGAAAATGTACTTTTTATGGCGTTTAAGGATTTTCCTTGGTCACACTGGACAGCTGTTTGTAAACAAATATTCAAAAAAAATATTAAAAATATTAATAAATAGTGCATTAAAATGTCCTTTGTGGGTAAAATTCCATATTATGGGCTTTCCCTTGACAGCCCCTATCAATGCCACCTTTTTCCTTCAACTTTCCCTCCATTAGGGGTGTCTAAATAAATCAAATGAATTATTTAGACAGCGCGATATCAGCTGTTTACTATCTTGATCTGGCAACGCCATTCAATTTTCACAGGCTTCATTTTCGTCGTCAGAGTACCGAAAAAAACGACGTGTCTAAAAGTTCTTCTTCTTTTTTTTCGACACCGTTTTTTATACCCTTGCAGGGTATTATAATTTCAGTCAGAAGTTTGCAACGCAGTGAAGGAGACGTTTCCGACCCTATAAAGTATATCTTGATCAGCATCAGCAGCCGAGTCGATATAGCCATGTCCGTCTGTCCGTCTGTCCGTCTGTCCGTCTGTCCACCTGTCCGTTTCTACGCAAACTAGTCCCTCAGTTTTAAAGCTATCTGAATGAAACTTTGCATATAGTCTTCTATATACTTTCACTGCTATATATGTCGGAACGGGCCGGATCGGACGACTATATCATATAGCTGCCATACAAATGTTAGATAAATTTTTAGAAAAATTATTATTACTTTGCTGTTTTTCATTATTTTTGCACCATTTTTTAGATATTGCCATTTTATATTATTTCTGAATTTTGGTAAAAATTTTATGAAAATCGGACGACTATATGATATAGCTGCCATAGGAACGATCGGGAAATTATTAGGAAAAAAATTATTGCTTCGTTGTTTTTCAACGTATTTTTATCTACTTAGAGATATAAGCTTTTTTTAGTATTCTAGAATTTTGGTATAAATTTCATAAAAATCGGACGACTGTATCATATAGCTGCCATTGAAGCGATCGGTAGATGTAGAGAAAATGTAAAGGTGCGAATGTAAAACTGTAACCGTCAAACTGTAAACATAATAAGTATAGGTAAAATGTAATGAAATAATATCTGCAAGGGTATTCAAACTTCGGCGTGCCGAAGTTAGCTTCCTTTCTTGTTTTATATGGAGTTTGGCCGCTGTCTAAATTTATACAGCGGTTTTTTCTCGTCAGAATACTAGGCTTAAAGGACAAAAATTTTAAAAGAAGACCAAAATATGCTTGCGCTACTTTCGTAACCGAATTTACGATTATATAACCAAAATTCTTGTTTATTTATATTTTCAATTATAAATATACATATATGCTGAAAAAGAAAAAAGTTCTTTTTCATAAGCTAGCTATATATTAATATAATTTTGTTTTACAGTTACAGTTTTACATTCATTTTCCCTTTATATACTGATTCTGGAATAATATCTAGAGTAGATGTAAATATGTATAATAAGAGGGAACTTATAATATTGTTCATTAACTTTTTGATCGTTCATATGACAGCTCTATGATATATGTTGAAAGTTTTAGTTTAGTTTTAGTGATAATATTTTCTAAAAGTATTCCGATTCTTTCTATGGCAGCTATATGATATGATCGTCTGATCCGACCCGTTTCAACTTATATACCAATGAGAGTAGTCTTGCGTAGAACGAGACGGACGGATAGTCAGACATGGCCAGATAGACTCGGCTATTGATGCTGATCAACAATATATATATAATTTAAGAGGGTCCAAAATGACTCCCTCACTGCGTTGCAAAATTCTGTTTGAAATAATAATACCCTACAAGGGTGTAACGACCAAAATTCTAGATTCAAAAAGTATATATATATATCTTAGAGTAGTGGTAAGTGTTAAAAAAAAGCGAAATTACAATTTGTTCTTTTAATTTTCCAAATGATTATATGGCAGCTTAATGATATGGTCGTCCGATCTGGTCGAAATACAAAGAAGTCAAGTGTGTCTGCCAATATTATTCAGATAGTTTTAAAAAATATTAATTTATTTTATAAGCTAGCTGAGCCTATGTTATTTAAATATTTTGTTGTTGCTTATTGCATGCTTTGCTTTGCGCATGCTTTGGCATTAGGGGTGGGGTCCTATGTACTCTCATGGTGGTTTTGCCTCTGGCAACCCTTAAATACGACGGAGATACGAAGGGTGGTGTGTTTTGCTGATGTTCATTTTATGTGAGTTCCGTTCTGTTTTTGGATTTTGGTTCCCGTTCACAGTTCAGTTTGAATTGGGAATAATTCGCGTAAGGCTGAGAAGCTTTATATGGCAGCTCGGCAGGGGTTTTTTCGGTAAAAGCCACCCACATGTGTGTACATGTGTCTATACTTACACACATGCGTAGAGGAGAATTTTCCTAGCCAAAAAGTTGTTGGAGGAACACCAGATTTCCAATCACCTAGAGATCCGTTAAATGCAAAAATGTTCATAATTATAGTACCAAAAGAAAATTTGGTTAATATTTTAAAAATTTAAAAGAAAAAGTGAAACATATTATAAAGTAGATTCCAAGTTGATTATTGTATGTTGAGTGTTTGTGTATTAAAAAATAATACTACATGTTTTATGTGAAGATGTAGCTCAGAAACCTGGTTCCGTTTAAGGTAAATGGGAACAAATGCGAAGTATAAACATTAAAGTTAATTTAAATGCTTTGACAAACTTGTGAAAAGTAAGTTTGATAAAGTGCAGGCAAAGCAACCCCAACCTTTGGCTGATGTGTATGTGTGCTTGGAAGCAACCCTTAAAGGTCGGTCGGTGCGGCGATGGCAACGAGTAACATGCTATATATTAAGTGAACGAAACTCACAATCTAAATAACAGAAAATTAAATTTTAGTGAATATATACTTGAAAATATTCTCTGAAACCATAATATTTTATTATTAACGTTTTTGTTCAACTTTAATAGCTATAACTTGCAACCTAAAAAACGACATTCTTAAGTTCTTGTTATATAAACGATTTTTTAAAGGGCATAATATAAACAAGCATTTTTTTCCCCCATTTCCAGATGCTTTTGCATCTTCTTCTGATTAAGGAATGGAATCAATTAATCACATAATTGATCCGCGGCCAACATATAGCCAGGATTTAGTTGAAAATGCCACAGAGTTTATGAACGAACATCAGTCACAGTCACATCAAGAAGGAGGAGGTCCTGGTTCTGGATCTGAACTTGATGCAGATGAGGTTCTGTCAATACAAACAATGATTAGTGAAAAAAAACAACGTTCCAGGCCAGATTCGGCTGCTGTTGTCATGGTTATCGATGAAATGGATAGGCAGACGACAACATATCAAATAGTGCCTCATGAACAACTGCAGCAATTGCAGCAACCAAGAACTATGTCCTTTGGAATTGTTCAACATGATCTGCACCATGAACAGCCCATGATCGACAACAGTCCCGTGGACTCTTTTGTGGCCTCCGATATAAGCTTGGATGGATTGACAGTGGATGCAATCAGCCAGGCGGCAATTCTTCCCCAAGAATTGACTACAGTTAAGCCAGACGCAATGAGCAAGTTGCTTATAGTTCAAACCAAGTCTGGAATGGATCCAGCTAATAATAAGCGTATAAAGATGCATGTTGACTTATCGAGTGCAAATGTTGGACTCGGAGCTAACGTCGATGACGTGGATGAGATTTCATCCGATGGCGATAACTGTGACGATGTAGGAGTAACATTAAATCAGCATCATCATCAGCAGCTATTGGATGGTCACCAGCAGGTGTTCAGCCTGGCCAGCCATCATCATCAACATCAACATCATCAGCACCACCACCACCTTCATGCCCATGGTCACGGCCAAGTAATTCTTGGTTTGCAGCACAATAGATCCGGTCAGCTGGATATGGGACATGGAATGGCAGGTGGGGTTATTGTCACTTCCCAAGATAGTGAAAAGGACGCGGATGATGAAGATGATAATGGCAATGGAGATCCGGATGGGGACGTTGAGGATGAAGATGATGATGAAATACGAAATCGTGGCCAGTTGATTAGCCAAGGTTCTTATCAGACACTTACATCGGTTAATGATCGTTTATCGCCGCCTGGCTTTAGTCCAACATCGTATGCGACATTGACACCCATCCAACCCCTTCCGCCCATATCAACCATGTCGGAGAAATTCGCCTATTCCGGTCACATTTCTGGAAGCGGCGATAGCGGCGATAACACAGATGTCACTGGAGTAGAAAGAGGTAGAGAGGAGGCCATTACCAATGCCTCATCGGAGACTGAAGTTGAAGGAGGTAATAGTAGTGGTATTGGTAATGGGACAGCCTCCGAATGCAACTCGTACTCTTCTGCCTTACCCTTGACCATGAGTGGCGGTCATCATCATCTTGGATTAGGCGTCTCACCGTATTCCTCATACGAAAAGCTAACGTCTATGATTTCACCACCACCTAATAATTATCTGGTTTCATGTGACCTGCATTCCGCCACCGTTGTTACGTCGTCTGGAAGGATGCCAAATCCATCCCAGCTGGAGGAGCTGAGCCATAATGGACACAAAAAGGATTCGGCGACGCAAGAGAATTCTGATGACAATGTGGGAGGAGGAAGTGGAGAAGAAAAATTCACTTACTCCGGCCACATCTCTGGTGGTGGAGATAGTGGCGATACTGACATCCAAGGTGAAAAGTTCGCTTACTCTGATCATATCTCTGGTGGAGATAGTGCCGACACTGATGTTCATGGGGAAAAGTTTTCTTACTCTGATCATATTTCTGGAGGCGATAACGTTTCTGATGTCAACGGAGGAACGTACGTATATAAGTTGTAAATATTAAAAGTTAAATATCCTTAACTTAGCAAAAGGGTAATCGCAGAGCAATAGCGTGTATCGTTTTTTATGCAACAGGGTAAACAAAACGTTTAATGATCAGCTTAAGCCTATGCCCATATGTCTGTTACTTTAAAGTTGAAACACTTTGATCATGCAATAACATAATAGCAAAATTTTTTTTATTTTCTTGACCTCTATTATTATGTTAACATATAAATATTAATTATCTTTACATATAATTCTGAATTAACCATGTATGATTTTTTTGAAGGTCTTGGGTGCATTTGGCTTCAGAGCGGGAGTCACGACTTCATATGCCGTCAGAACACAGCCTGGAGGACCGATTTCATTTGGCGTCCGAACGAAAAACGCGACTTAACATGGCGGCACAGGAGCGGACGACGGCGACGCGCTTGCAAATGCCGCGTCACCTGCATCATCAGGCAACAGCCGCTGCTGTTTCTTCAATCTGTACTACAGATTGGAAACCAGATGAAGATTGGAAGCATGGATCTAATTCAATTCTACCCGTGGTTGTGTCCCTAACACCGACACCACCGCCACCGTCCATAACAGATGTTGATAGAGCATCAACCGTGCCACTTAAGCTGAGTGGTCGTATGTCCCCAGGAAACCAAAGATCACAGCAATATTTTTTGGACAAGAGCCAGCAGCAAGAGATTGGAGGAGCAACGGATAACGTTATCGCGGACTCCTCCGTTTGTGGCATTCAACAGTCAAGTCTTTTAAATGGATTTCAAAATATTCAACAGCAATGTGCAAAGATCGCCATCTCCGCGTCGCCCAAGAACGGAGGAGGAGGAGGAGGAGGCGCTGGAGGATCATCTAGCCGGACTAGTGGAAACTCCACAGACATGGAGGAGATCAATACCAAGGATCTGGCACAGCGTATTTCAGCAGAGCTCAAACGATACAGTATCCCACAGGCAATTTTTGCTCAACGTGTCCTATGCCGATCGCAAGGCACCCTGTCCGATCTCCTACGCAACCCAAAGCCATGGTCAAAGCTTAAATCGGGTAGGGAGACCTTCCGGCGAATGTACAAGTGGCTGCAAGAGCCGGAGTTCCAACGGATGTCGGCACTGCGTATGGCGGCGGCTCAAATTCCACAACGTATGACGCCTTTGGGCTCTGGTAACACTGCTGCGACTGGACTACTAGGTTCAGTTGGAACCGGAACGGGAACTAACGATAACCGAGACGTAATGACAACGGATGCGGATCCCCATGGGGGCCCATTACCTATGTCACCAAGAGGTAAATGTCTAAGAAAAACAATTATCTCTTCTGTTTTTTGTATGACCATCCATATTAGAGGCAAGTCACGAAGATTTTTAGATCACAACTTTGGGTCACATCCATCAAACTGAACTACCTAAACTATTGTACTTTTCTTCCATTTAACCTTAGCTGCGCTTACTGAATCTGTGTCTACAGTACGATCTGCAGTTGGCCCTAATCTCCCGGTCTCCTCCAATGTCGCCGCCAATTGTCGACGAAAGGAGGAGCCGCAGATCGAGCAAATGCCTCAGCCGAAGAAGCCACGCCTGGTTTTTACCGATCTACAGCGACGAACATTACAAGCTATTTTTAAAGTAAAGTATATATATATATATATATAATTAGAATAATTTTATATAAATTAATGATCTCTTTAGGAAACCAAGCGACCTTCAAAGGAGATGCAAGTGACTATAGCCAGGCAGTTGGGGTTAGAGCCCACCACGGTGGGTAATTTCTTTATGAATGCAAGAAGGCGATCGATGGACAAGTGGCGTGATGATGATTCAAAAAATAACTCAAATATGCAGCATGTCATTCAAAATCGTCAGCAGCAGGCACAAGATGAACAAGATGAGGATCATAGTCAGACGCCTAATCATATTCACAATCAGAACCATAATCCTAGTCAAAGTCTATCGCACGATAACTACTCGAGTCTCCATACGACAGCAATGTCTCCTCTAGGCGCTTTTGATGAAGATGCCGATATGGATTTGGAGTTGGAAAGTCATGATTTCGATTTGGTCGATCCCGACCATCAGGCTGATAATAATAATGATCGCCATGGTGATATGTTGTGACAGCATAACCTATCTGAGCACCGCCACACACCGAAGAAGATGAATTCTCTCCGAGGTACAGTCACGCACTTGAGTCCTAGTAAATCGAGAGAGAGAGCAAATCAGGTCTTGGTAAGCCGAAAAGTTGCAGGTAATGTTCATAACAGCGAGGACGATAAGGATGAAACCAAGCTTAAACTAGAAGATAAGCCGCAATGGTCGCAAAACCTGCGACGCAATATTGACGGGAACATCTGTGTGGATGATATGATGGGAATATCCGATTATTTGGATGATCTTAAACTAATGATAGTCTGCTGAAAAAACACAAAAATGGCATACTTAACAGCAACCCTTATTAAACTTGTCTGCTATATTTATCTAGGTACAACATGTACTACTAGTTGTATCCAAGTTTTATATAACACAATAACCTTACTTGACTTAGTTGTATTAAATTTTTTTGTGTTAAAGAAATGTATACAATTTTTGTCCAATTATTGCAAAATACGTAGCCATGTTATGCCACAATAATGTTTCAAATAGCTTTATAATTTAATTATGCTCGTTGATTTGAATTTTTGTTGTTTTTTTTCTTTAAATTTATTACGGTTGATTTTTAAGTTACCAAAGCTTTCATTTCTTCAGTATTTAATTTACTATATTTATACAATATATATTCTTGGTCATCATCGACAGCTGATCTAGCCATACCCACTATTATCCAAACTACAATCGTTTAATAAGCATGAGAGTTATTAGACAATAAAGTTTCTGTTGAACTTCTGCAACATTTACTTACGTGTTGTCACCATCAATGGGTGTTCCACCAACATTTGCCTTATTTTGGTGCTTTAACCATTTTTTTCATATTGCCATATCCGTGTTCCTTTCATTTCCCCCAAAATACTTTGGCCACCGGTTACACAGTCGGTCACAGTCGACCACACTTCACTGTAGCTTTCCACCTATACAACATATTCACGTAAAATCTAAGACATACTTGCTTTTTGTTCATTTTTGTGTCATCCGAAATGGATCTATTTGCAATGGTCCAATTGAAAATTTCAAGGGTATGCAAACTTCGGCGTCCCGAAGGTAAAGTCCTTTATAGTTACGTACATTTTGTTTATAATTTCTACTTGCATTTGCACAGCAAATAATAGCGTATATATATATATATATATATATAGCACTGGCTATTAAGGTTTGGCCGTAGGCGAAAATGTAAAGAGTTTGGTATAAAAAAGGCAGTGTATATCTATGTAGATACATTTAGAACAAATACAATTAATACATCATAAAAATAATAAAAAAATTACTAAAAATTAAGTCATAAACTTATTGTGTATCTAGTCAAATTTATAAATTACTCATGTAATAACCGAAGGGAATATTAATAATAATATGTATTATTCTTAAAAATAGTAATTACAACATTAATATATTTAAATTAGCATCTTTAAGCCAGTCTAAAATGGCTGAAAGATGAAAGAATACAAAAAATATAAATAATAAAAAAAAAACAAAACCATGTTTTGTTAAGTTCTGTGTATACAATTAAATTTATATCAAAGAAAGAAATATTTAATAATGAAATAAACTGTAAATAACTGTATGAAATCTTCATTATTTCAGACACCAAACCTTTTATTTAATAATATATCAAATAGCTCTTTCTAACCCCAAATAACTATGTTTAATTCTTTATACGATATAAGAAATGTTATGAAAAATACTCTTTGGCATTATATTTATGCACTATATGTTAATCGAATAGGATTTATTAAAAATAATAACACCACTCGATGTATCCTAGTCAATTTAGCTTAAATACAATTAAGAAATGTAATTCAAATGATGTAAGGATGGAGTATATGTTCACCTCTTTAGGCACATTAATATAGGTTAAGATATCTATGTAAAAAAACAAATCAAGTAAATGCAATAATAAAATATAGGCAAAGTCATTATGTAAGGTTATCTTATCTTATCTGTCTATGTTGCCTTATAAGTATACTTACGCAGTAAACACATTTAAAAATAGCTGAACTACTTATCTGCCTTTTCAGTTTTCTTTTGCAGGCGGGAATGTTTGAATTTTACAATTTTTTAACGAACTATGGCAAATATTTTTCTTTAACATTTATGCAGATTTTTAATAGGTTCCTTTTAGAGGGGGCAAAACAAAAAAAAACGAATTGATATTCAATTTAACCATTAAGTTGAATTTTTATGATTAAAAATAATTAAATTAAATAAAAAATTCAATTTTCAAGAAGAATAAACTTTTTATTAATAGTTTTCCAAATAAATACGTTTTTTGTAATAAATAAAAATATTATAATTAGCCCATTACGTTACATTATCTGAAAGTTAGACACGAAAGTATTTCAAGTATTAAAAAATTTTTAGCTCAAAATCTGAACTATTTTATTTGGTTTGAACTATAATAATTGTTTTTATTAGATGGCTGCTTCGGTTCAGAGCTCTGAAAACCAAATGTATTAGTATTTAACAGATAGTAACGATTTATTTATTGTTTAAAAGTTTAATTGTTGTCGCCATATATTTTTTAAGTTTAAATTTAAAACATTAACAATGCACCAGACATTCTGACTTGAAAAGGTACTCTATTTGTTTTTAATATTTTGGGTGTTAAGCTTAAGCCGTAATATTAAAAGGCTTGCATTTTTTACTCCAAGACATAAGCTTGGATTGGTAGTAACTGAAACTTTGGTGTGTGTTAACTTTCTGTGTGCATTTAGAATGCAATTACCTTTTTTTTTAATATGGTACATAGATCTAATGGAAATAGGGGTTAACTAGTAACAGCGATCTTCTGATATATTTCATTTAATTTTAAAATTTCTTGCAGGCGTTTAGGTTTCAAAGTCTCATACCGACGACGTTGCATTCTGCCTATCGCTATCGATGGTGAGACTGGACGCTCGCATACTAAGCGACGCCAATGACAAGTTACTATGGTACATGGTCTTTGGTGACATTATTAAGGTGACATTTTCTGTGTCCGATGGCATTGATCGATTAATGTTACAAAAAACGGTTGAGGGTAGGAGAATATCCGAGTTAATACCGAATAAGCCACCAACGGAAAGAACGTTTGCATTGATGACGCTGCTGCCGCCACCATCCGTGCTGTCCGTTTCGGCTGGTATGACTCCACTTCCGTTTCCGCTTCCGTCAAGTTGCTGGCGAGAACTCATTTGTTTATTGCACGCCGGACAAGATCGTTGCGTATTTTTGTCCCGACGTCGTAGTATCTCATAGGCACATCTATTGTATATTCAAATCCATATATGTGTGTGAAAATAAAATAAAGTTGTTAGAGAAAGGCCAACTCTTCACCTCGCATGGAGAATGTGTGCACAGGGCAAAGCCTCCAGGTTTTCCGGCTGCAGTCCAAAAAGCTCTCCACAGGCTCCGCAATTCAAGCCTAACGCCGCATCTGTTTGATTTGCCATGCGAAAGTGTGAGTTGTACTGATCCTCGTCGCCCAGAGCGCGATATATCAGTGCCAACCGACAACGGATCTTGCGAACTAGAAACTATAACATGTGCATAGATAAAGCTTTAGACTTTCAGTGAGTGATAGGAGAAGCCCATACCTTGGCACCAATAGAACTAGCAACCTCTAAAAGACGCGTATTAAACTCCAACGGTCTGCAGTTGCAAATTTTATTTTGTAGACGCAACGTCTCCAAGCAACGAGCCGCTCCGTCCATGGCCTCCATTTGAGCCATGCGATCGCCCAAGCTGGCAGAAGTGCCCATCGCCTGCTCATATTGGTGAAAGGCCCGCTTAAATTATATTTTCATTTTATATATAAATATATACAATACATATATATACAAAATTAAATATATATTTTATTGATTCAAAACTTACATCCATATCCATTTTCTTACGATAAATGTCACCCATAATCCGAATACTGCGCGTAAACGTAGCCTGATCGCCGGATATAAGCGACAGCTTAGTGGCCTCCTATGAAATTCTATAGGTTATATATATCTCACTTGGACTTAGTGCCTAGATAATACCTTACAATAATCCTGTGCATCTCCCAGCTCACCCTGCTTTCGCAAAGAGACCGCCATGCGCAGTAACGCTGCCCTATGATGGCAAGAGTTAAGATCCCCAAGTTGTAAAGATCGCGATAGGTCGTAGGCCTTGGATGCATACGTGGCGCTCTTGTCGTTATCCTGCAGACGGCCAAATAACTCCGATAAGGCTACATACACCTGCAGCTCAAGCGAGGGATCACCAATTGCCATGGCTATCTTATAGGCACCTTGCAATCCCTCCAGTGCTCTGGAGAATCCACCCATTTCCAGATATACGCGAGCCACCGTCAAATGGACTAAGCCACTGCGGCACTTCGTCCCGCATTCATTATAGAGCGAGTGACGGGCATAACTCAGGGATCGTTCCAGTCCACCCAGGCTGGCATGAGCTCTGCTCAAGTTTAAATACGTTTCAGCTCTCATATTTGGTGAGTCTAGCTCTTCGGAAATACTAAACCGGAATACAAAGATTTATTAGTTATGCTTAATAATAATAATAACAATGAACAAGAAAGAAAGCTAACGTATAAAAGAACTACATATGTATATTTTAAGTTTTAGATATCTATCAGAACAAAAATTATAAATAAATATGCTGGGAAACAAAAAAACAAGGTAATATCAAGTTTCATTACATTTTCCTATACATATTATATTTACAGATTTACAGTTGCGGTTTTACTCATAGCTTTATATCTCAGTACTTCGCTTGACCTATATCTACTGATCATTTGATCATATGTCGTCCTGATGTTTATAAAATTCTAATTATATTCAGAAATTTACAAAGCAATGAAGGAACCGATTTGAACCGATTTTATGCGTGTACTATGGACGCCATATTGAGAGCTCTAAAGGCTAGGTCCATAGAATGGATAGGGATTTTGTAACATAGAACTCATTGAATTTCTTTGATCACCATTTAATGAAACCAAGCACACTCCTGACTTTATTCACCATGCACGAAATATGATCGATAAAGTCAAGTTTAGGGTCCAGACGGACACCCAAATCATCAACTATATTAGTTCTTTCCAAGGAGCAGTAGTTCAGTGTACGCTTTGCAGGTTTAGGAACGACACGGGAGAATGTCATTAGCTTGCATTTAGAGCCATTTAAGTTTAATAAGTTAACGCCGCACAATGTTGGAAAATTGTTAAGATCTGTCTGTAGGTCTGACTGGCAATCATAAAACAATAGCGTCGATCTAGCTAAATGAAGTTTTTCATAAATTCTTTTGACTATCTTCTCACTACTATACTTAAGTATATGTAGGGACAGGGCGGATCGGCCGACTATATCATATAGCCTTCATAAAAACAATTGGAAAATTTGCAAGGAAAAATATTATAATTTAGTAAATGTAGAGAGAAATGTAAAGTATAAAAGTTTTTACATTCTGTAAATGTAGAACTTTAAATATTTGTATTGGTAAATATATAATGAGGGTTGATATTACTTTGTTTGTGATCAGCACATATATTTTTATAATTTAAATTATATTAAATATATAAAATCTAAAAATTGTTTCAATACGATGTTTTTGAAATTTTATCAAAACCAAATATTGATATGCTAGTATAAATATATCTCCTTTTAGTTTTGGATCGACTGTTAATGATCCATTCGGCGCGCCGAAGTTAACTTCTCCATTCTTTAGCTTATCTTTTTTCTTGTTTTTACTCACCCAAGTTGTTGATGACTAAATTCAATAGCTTCTCGGAATTTACCCCAGTCCATGTGGGCCTGATATAAGTACCCCAAAAGCTGAAAGCAATCTTCTCGTTGACAGGTTCCCTTCAAAGCACTGCGCCACGTCCGGACTGCCTCGGTTTGGTTGTTTTGCTCGTAAAGCCGACGGCCACGCTCGATCTGGAGAGCACAGGTTATAACAAAAACAGTGTCTCGAAACTACATTTTTAATTTTACGTCGTTGATTAATTAACCCTCAAATTCTAATTCATTATCACAACCTTCCAGCTTAACTTACGCTATTATGATACTGCTTGCGAGAAAGATGACTATACCACAATGAAGCTTCTAATGCATTGGTAATGCTTAGAAATTCCATAGATCTGCTACAAAATACCAGATGCCAATTTAGAGCGATAGCAAATCTAATGAACAGAAATAGTATCTGAAAAGTGTATTAGCCTCATTAGTGGTAAAGTTGTCAAAATGGTCTCTCAGCTCGAATTTCTTATTTCTGATTTCTTGCAATTATTTTTCTGAAACTTAACTGAACAAGATTTTAAACAAGAAAGGAAGGTAACTGCGGCACGCCGAAGTTAAAACCGAGATACTTAAATACTCGTGTTTTAGAGAAGATGAGAATATGTTAAAATAAAAAATAAATAATAATAATAAAGCCAAAGCCAAAACACACACAAAACAGAGTTTTATTACATTTTACCTATACTTATGTTTATCTATACTTATGTTTACCTATACTTATGTTTACAGTTGACAGTTAAAGTCTTAAATTCCCAGCTTTACATCTACCGATCGCTTCTATGGCAGCTATATGATAGAGTTGTTCGATTTTCATAAAACTGATACTAAAATTTTGAAACAACGAAGTTATACTTTTTTCCTATTAATTTCCCGATCGTTCCTATGGCAGCTATATGATATAGTCGTCCGATTTTCATAAAATGTTTACCAAAATTCTGGAATAATATAAAATGGCTATATCTAAAAAATGATGCAAAAATATTGAAAAACAGCCAAGATATAATTTTTTTTCTAAAAATTTATCGAACATTTGTATGGCAGCTATATGATATAGTCGTCCGATCCAGCCCGTTCCGACATATATAGCAGTGAAAGTATATAGAAGACTATATGCAAAGTTTTATTCAGATAGCTTTAAAACTGAGGGACTAGTTTGCGTAGAAACGGACAGACGGACATGGCTAGATCGACTCGGCTGTTGATGCTGATCAAGAATATACATATATACTTTATAGGGTCGGAAAGGTCTCCTTCACTGCGTTGCAAACTTCTGACTGAAATTATAATACCCTGCAAGGGTATAATAAATAAAAAATAAGGAAAAATTATTGTTTTCGGTTGCGTGGTTCTTGCGCTGCTAACATAACTTCAATTAATTATTTGGTGTTAATTATAAAATTTGTATGCATTAGAAGGTAACAAAATAAATATAAGGGCTTCCATAAACAAAAATGCATGAATACTGCGACGAGGACAATTCGACAATTGTTATTGTTTACAAATTTACGCATATACATAGTTGTCTCTTTCAAGGTTGTAATGAAACCTCTGATTAATGGAAACTTTATTAGAGTATCATAAGGCCATTATTATATATACCTTTCTCTTCGCTATATATTGCCTCAAACTCTGTTGGCATGAAAGGAAACAGCCGATTACCGAACTGGTGTGTAACAGTCCTTGACCGGATGTCCAACACGAACGAGATCCCGCATCGGGACTCGAGCCATAGCCAGCCACACGAGAAAAGGTTTCATCCAATTGACTTAGTTCTGTTCAAGGAAAATGTATAGCCTATAAGAAACAGTTAGAAATATAGAAATATTGGTTACCATTCGAATTATCCAAGAGATAACGCGATCCATCTGGTGATGTAAGTAAATGCGTGGCTGAATGATTCTGGCTAGGTGGGATGCTGGAGAAAGGAAACTCTAAAAAGGATATGTATCTAGGAGTTTCGAGGCGTCCAATTACCAAAGAAGATCCTTTGAGGCAATGCTCTCCCATGACATGACAATTGCTTTTTTTAATAAAGCTATATTGCAAAACCACTGAAAAATAACGAATCGAAACAATTAGGCAGACCACGTAGTAACATCGAAACTTATAATAAACGGTTGTTATAATTCGATTAAAATCATGAAAGGTATTGTATTTTTTCAAAACAGCATACTAAGATTTTTCAAAAATGAAATTGTTAAGAAGAAATGGGATGGTAAGTGCTAAACAGACGTATTTGTATATAGTTGACCGATTAAACAAAAAAAAATTTAAGTAAAATTCTAAAAAAAATGGTCTTGCCCCAAAGTAAATGAAAATATGCTGAAAACTAACCAAGTTAGGTTAGGTTAGGTTTATCCGGACCGCCCTCGTGGGGACACGCATAGGTCAATATGGCCCCTAGCTATCCGGGGAAATTCCTGGATAACTAATTTTCAAGACTATTTATGCGGGCTTCGAGATACTTAAAAATCAAGGTGTTTTTCGCAAAGGCAAGGAGGCTGGCTGTGTCATCTATTAGATATAGTTAATTCGGCCCTTTTCGACTTATATACTTGTGAGAGTAGTCAGAATACTATTTGCCAAGTTTCATTCAGCTAGCATCACATCTCATCTCTTCACCATTTCATGACCTTTTCCTAGTAACTTCTCATATGTACACGGCTTAACATTATTGTAAGCTGTGATCTATAGATTCCTATATCGTTTGGAATCGTTCCCTAATCTCGATATTTAAAAAACATTTAATAAGTGCAAATAATAGTGGTTTGCCTTATGCGACTTCAAGAAAGATATTTGCTGTTTGTGTGGCTCTCAGAATAGCAGTATATTTCCCTTCCTATTAAAGCGAAGGCGTTATGTATGACTAAATTACTGAAAACATTGTCTAAATACCCGAATACGAAGTCACCAGCTAAATTTTCTACTCTATAATTTTTTTTAACTACTACCCTTTCATTTACAAATCCAAACCATTGATTTATACGAACTCTGTAGCCGCACTGCAGTGCCAGTGCACTGGGTTTTTAGTCACTTTCCCGACACTTTCGGGGTCGCTGAATTACTGAATATCCGGGATAAATATTAATATAAATACAAAAAACGAAATCTTGGCAATACAATTTTTTCCTAATTTTAAAAACTGATGAAGCAGATTTTTTTCAGCGACTTCGTGGACGCTGAATGTCTGAAAATGTCAAATGAGAAATTTTTAAGGAAGGGAAGACTTGTTTTCAGCTGCCGATATTTTCAGTCATTCGTCGTATAAGGAATCCCCTTGTTGACAATTACCCACACAGAAAAGTTAAAAAAAAAAAATAATTATTTATATTTCTATATTTATTTAATAGACTATTACGTTAATAGACGATAACTCGAGTTTAGCGGATCAACAATCTTCGACGAATGCTGTTTAAAAACGAGGTACCTAATCAGAAACTAGTTAAATTATTTTTAATTAATGTTGTAAGTAATGTGACATTGTCCCTATTATCTAGACTTGTTAATAAAATGTTCCTTTTTTTATTGATAAAGAACATGTAAATGTTACTATTACGTTGATTTTAGCATTTAAAAAACAAATGTTTAGGTTTGATATTTGGACGTCACTCGGTAGTAAACCTTGACCCAACTGAAGCTCCATTTGATTATTTTAATTCATAGTGACCTTGGCTCCTCCTCCTAATACTAAAGAGCAAAGCATCTCGACCACTCACGCATCTTACACGTACGTGTTTTATACAAAAAGCGTGAATATTTTCATACATACAGTATCAGAGCATCAAAAATGGTCGATAAATGCCTTACAGAATATGATTTTTCACTCAAAACATTTGCTTAAATAAATGCTATAGCTTAAGCTCGTCCTGGGCCGTCTACGAAACTGTGATAAAGACCAAGGGGATGCGATGGTGGATGTTTTTGTCTTCCATCAAGAAGCAAGGAGGCTGCGCGGAACAGTGCTTGTCTGATAACCGATAGTTGTATAGATAGTACCAAAGCTATGCAACACTGCACGAATGTTTGGAACAGGTTTTGAATTATAATTATATACCTATTATTAATATTATATTTGAATATTACAGAAATATATTAAACAAGAAAGGAAGCTAACTTCGGCAAGTTTGCAATTGGAACATTAGGAGTAGATCCATTCTGGTTAAATTAATGGAAAAAAAATATATTAAATTTCTGTGTGTATACATATCATATAATAATTTGGTTTTGATATTTATATTATCAATTTAAATGCTGAAAACACACACATCTCTGAGTTTCATTACTTTTTACCTGTACTTATTATGTTTACAGTTTGACAGTTACAGTTTTACAATCCCAGCTTTACATTTTCTCTACATCTACCGATCGCTTCTATGGCAGCTATATGATATAGAATGAATACAGAATATATATACTTTATAGGGTCGGAAACATCTCCTTCACTGCGTTGCAAACTTCTGACTGAAATTATAATACCCTGCAAGGGTATAATGAAAACGTTTGCTTTTTTATTATTTAAGCATGTTTTTGTTATCTTTCATATAAGATAAATTATTGTTCTCAGTCTCGAATTTGCTGTCATACGGACTAGTAGTGCACTAAATTTTTTTTCTCCGAAAAAAAAAAAAATCATTCGCTCTTTCAAAAATATATAAATTTGTTTTCCAACGAACCACATTTTATTTTTGGACAAAATTTACCCTTTTCATCCTTACCGTTCATTACTAATATCAAGTTCAAAAAAAAAAAAAAAAAAAAAAGAACAGCATTGCAACGTAGTGATGGGGGACCCCCCTGACCGTGGCCCACTAAGAGCCATAACAGACCAAATACTAACATCTCCCGGACCAAAGTATCTTAGCATCTCCAGAACAGACCCCGGACTCGACCTGAATAACATCAATCCATTCCTTGTCAAAAAACAAATCGACTTTACGTGTGGTGGTGAAATAGAAGAATGCAAGACTCTTCGTAATGGCACTCTGTTAGTTAAAACTAAAACTGCTGTTCAAGCTTGTAAACTAATGAAACTTAAAGCATTTGCTCGCAACATTAACTTTGCTGTCTCTGTACATAACTCTCTAAACTCATCTAAAGGAGTTATTTACTCGAACGATCTAAGAGGATTTGAAGAAAGCGTTATTGTGCAAGAACTAGCAAACCAAAAGTAACAGAAATTCGTAAAATTCTTAAAAGAGACAACGGCGCACTAAACTGGCCTCTTAATTATTACATTCAACACACACAATCTTCCCGAATACATAATGATCGGCTACCAGCGGACTTCTGTCAGAGTTTATATCCCACTGCCCATGAGATGCAACAATTGTTTTAAATACGGCCATATCCACAAATTCTGTAAAAATAAAAAAATTTGCTACAACTGCGGAGAAGAACACTATATCGACCCGACCTCTAACATCAAATGCAATAGACCCCAAAAATGCATTAACTGCAACATTGAACAACTAGCAAACCCTCACAACTCCACCAGCAAGAAATGTCCTGTATTCCTCAAACAACAAGAACTTCAAGCCATTAAAACTACGAACAGATGTGACAACAAAACGGCCAATACAATTCTCAATGCACGCTTCTCCAAGGAAACTTCACAATTATACTCTTCTATCGCCAAGAAATCAAATCTCCAACAATCCAACATTTCTACAGGACCTCAACAACCCAAAGAACCCAGACTCCAATCCATGAGCAATCTAATCTTGAAAAACTCAACAATTCAACAGGACCTCAACAACTCAAAGGACCCAGTCCCGGTAACTCCAATCATGATCAATCCACTTCCAGACCAGCACCCACATCATACGCGGATCTTTATCCTAGCACCAGAAAAACCTAAACCGACAATAATTCTCCACAAACAACAATCAAGAAGTCCCCAACCAAAACCTTTTGGTGGTTTTATCACTATCACTAGACACATCAAAACGAATAACTTCTTCCATAAAAAAAGAAGCAAAAAAACTCAAAACACTCATAAACCCTGACACTTCAAGCGATTCAGAGGACATTTCGTAATCTACATCCAACTCATTTATCTTTAATTTAATATGTTAAGAATTATCCAATGGAATATCAAAGGTTATAGAAACAACTACCCAGAATTACAAATCCTCATTAATCAATACCACCCACAAATCATAGCACTCCAAGAAACCCACCTTAACAATTTAACTTCTACCCCATATGCTATTGGGGCTCCCCTAGACAATACCAGAGGCAACACAATAGCTAAATTCATTGACAGAACAGTTTATTCCGTACTAAATGACAAATCCCCTACACACTACACAACACACAACACACTAACTCATATTGACCTCTCTCTTGCCACAGCCAACATATCCCCAGAGATCTCTTGGAAAATCCTAGACGATCTACACGGAAGCGACCACTTCCCTATCCTAATCACAATATTCCCAAACCCTTCCCCCCCAACATTCATATCCAAACCGTCATTCAAACTAAAATATGCCAACTGGGACCTCTTTAGAGAGCACATTACAAAACTATCCTCACTTAGACGTGTAACGTCCTGTCGTCCACGGGTAGTCAGAGGGACGTCCAGGGTCTGTGCAGATACATTTATTTGGTTCAGGCGTGGTTGCTGTAAGAGATTCCGACCCCGTCCCAGAGTAGAACGCTAGAGGATTATGCCGTAAATGTATCTTAATGTTTATTTACTTAAAAGGTACAATTTTCAATAATTTCATGCCGGATCTCGATTCTGGGGTACGCCGTAGTTCCAATTCGTCCTCCTAGTCCCGAGTGCGGCTGTCCGATAGGCGGATGCCGATAGTCCCGCCAGGGTATGGGCCTTTAAAGCCACCCAGTAGCGAATGCGTTCGGACTCGAAAGTCAACCACGAGAGAATGCGTTCGGACTCGACAGTCAACCGAACCCAGTAGTTGTCGGACTCGACAGTCAGCTCAGCGACGTTTGTTGGACTCGAAAGTCAGCTCGGAGAAGTTCGGACTCGAAAGTCTGCAGATTCGGACTCGAAAGTCAGCTCGAAGACGTTTGGACTCGAAAGTCTGCAGATTCGGACTCGAAAGTCAGCTCGAAGACGTTGGTTGGACTCGAAAGCCTGCAGATTCGGACTCGAAAGTCAGCTCGAAGACGTTTGTTGGACTCGAAAGTCAGCTCGGAGACGTTCGGACTCGAAAGTCTGCAGATTCGGACTCGAAAGTCAGTTCGAAGACGTTTGTTGGACTCGAAAGTCAGCTCGGAGAAGTTCGGACTCGAAAGTCTGCAGATTCGGACTCGAAAGTCAGCTCGAAGACGTTTGGACTCGAAAGTCTGCAGATTCGGACTCGAAAGTCAGCGGAGAGAATCGGACTCGAAAGTCTGCAGTATTTTGGACTCGAAAGTCGGCAGAGATCCTAACTACAATTTATAAATAGGAACCAGAGTTCCCAAAAAGTGACTTCGCTGCTAACTACTGGGGAGGTCAACTCGACCCAATCGCAGTCGGCGGCTAAGTGCTTACTCCAGGGCCGTGGTCCGCTTTATATAGGCCCTGGCGAGGCTTCAGTGTGGCCAGAGTCCTGTGCGGGATTTGCCCGAATAGTGTGGCCAGTCGTTCGGTCTAGTGTGACCCTCCGCTCGCGATCAGTGGCGCGCGCGCGCATTCAATTCAAATATTTCCATTATATCGCTGATTCCTTTTCTTATGTCGCTAATTGTTCCTATTATATTCTACCAAGATATATTGTGCGCGTACACGCGTCACAGACGTTCCAATAACAACACAAACAAAGAAGCAGCTTATATTAAAAAGACACTGATCCAAAGTGCCCACCTATCCATACCACAAAACACGACATTCTCTCTCCCGCGTACAGTTCCCTGGTGGAACCAAAACCTAACCCTCTTAAAAAAATTAAAAAACCTCAAATAGAGAAACCTTCGAAACAATATCAATACAGAAAACATGATTGAATATAAAAGAGCTAATGCCATATTCAGGAGGTCAATTAGAGATGCTAAAAAAGCCTCTATTATAAACTTCACTTCCGAAATCCAGCCAAACTCTGATCCTGCAAAAAACATGTGGGCAAACATTAAACGACTTTGCGGTATCTATCCGACTAAACATATTCACAGCATCCACAACCCCATAACACTAACAACAACAATAGACCCAGCTGAGATAGGTAACACACTCGGAGACCTATGGTCAAAACAGGAAAAAGACTCCAACTTCTCCCCTGAATTCCGCACTAACAAAATACTTATTACTCCCCACAATACATATGCCCCATCCCCAACAGCCATAGAAATAGAAAAAAACATAAATCTAATAGAACTCAACTCTGCCATTAACTCACTTAAGGGACACACACCAGGACTAGACCGTATTTTTTACTCAATGATTAAAAACACTCCCATCTCATTTAAATTTAGAATTTTACAACACTTCAACTACATCCTTGATTCCCACATCCCCCAATCCTATAAACTCAGCCTTGTGCTACCAATCCTTAAACCCAATAAACCCAAAACCAACCCCAACTCCTACCGTCCCATTTCCCTTAACCCATGCTTAGCCAAAGTCCTTGACAAAGTCGTAGGTTTGTCCTTTCAAACAAACTAATTCATAATAATCAATTTGGTTTTAAGCGTGGCAGATCAGTTCTAGACAGTCTACTTTATGTGCAAAAAGCTTTTGACAAAATAGGCATTCATTCTCTCATTCACCAACTAGAAAAATGGAAACTTGGTCCCCGAATTATAAAATACGTATGGAATTTTATGACGAACAGGAAAATTGTAGTTAAAAACGGCACATCTCTCTATAAGCTTCCCACTCGATAATGGTATCCCAAAAGGATCCCCTACATCTGTTATCCTCTT